GAATACTAGACAAAATTAGAGCAAAGGATTAGAGATATGTGAGGAAGGAAATGGGAAGTTTACAATAAGATAATGTTGATATTAAAATCCCTAAGAATAAATAAGAAAGAAACACTGTATCTGTCTAGGAATGACTAGGTCAATTGAGAGAACAATTATCACTAACAATACCACCGTTTACCACTAACAATACCTAGTTCTTTGGGGTTCTCAGACACCAGCTTTTAGAACAGTGGTTCCCAGCCTGTGATCTATGGACCACCAGTGATCCGCAAGAATGAAAATATGGTCTGCGGCCTCACCATTAATACACCGTTGCCTTGAAACCACATGGCAACGAGAGCGACTGGTCTTGCAAAACCCTCTTATAGTGCCGAGGCAACGGGGATGTTGGGAGGAGAGAGGCTGGCTATCCACAAAAGATTACTACTACCAACACCAGCTCTAGATTATTAAATACGGTATTCTGTGGGCGAGCAGATGGCAACTACTGGATGGCATATGTTCTGTATCAGAATTAGAGCTGATGTGGTCTATCCAATGCAATTTTCTGAATCAGCACTCCAAATAAAGTTGACCAAAAACTGATCTGTAACTCTTTTGATTTGTTCACTGGAGGGAAGGATATTAGAGGCAAAGATGAAGTACTTTGCCACATAATGAGAAGATAGGGAAGCTTGGAGAAGATAATGATGCTGGGGGAAAAGGAAGGAAAAAGGAAGAGGGGCCAACCAAGGACAAGATGGATGGATGATATCCTTGAAGTGACTGTCTTGACCTTGAAGGGGCTGGGGGTGGCGATGGATGATAGGGAGCTCTGGAGTGGGCTGGTCACAAAGGTCACAAAGAGTCGGAAGCGAGTGAACAAATAAACAATTTTGGTACTAATGTTGGAGAGTGGTCCCTGGTCAAAAAGAAGGTTGGGAACCACTGATTTAGAAAATGATGAGAGAAGATGTACACTGTGGTGAGGGGAGTAATTATGGAAGCAAGGGATGGCAACAAGGGCCAAAGTGTTTGCTATGAAAGGAAGCCATAGTATAAAGAAGATGGAGGCTAGATACTTCTCTTCTCACCTTCAGTAGCAGAAAAGTTGAGCTGTCAATGCATGACTATGAAAACTATTCCAATTATGGAACTCCAATTTGCAGGAGTTTTGAACGTTCTAATCCAAAAAGCTCTTGATATTGGATATTGGATCTTATTTTGATCCTCATCTGAATAGTGCTGCCTGCTTGCTATTGTACCTTGATGCATACATTGTGAAAAAAGCTGCTAGCATTTACTTTAAAGACCATTTTTTCGTTCCTCTGTGGGTAGGACAATACCTTGCCAGAGGCACAATTCCACAAAGTAGACAAAGGGTTTATATTTCAAAAGCATCAAATTAAAAAGTCCCTTAAAAACAGACATGTACAGCCAAAAAAAGTGTTTTTTAAGGGAAAGAACACACGCATCTATAACTGTGGATGCTTGAATGCAGCAGAATTGCAGGCTTTAAAATGTTCTGGGGGAAAAAGGTACAATAGATCCTCACATAAGTCCAGACGAAAACAGAGTTGCTGTTTTTCTTCCTTTAGTTTTCAACAATGATTTGGGATTTATTCAATCTTCTTCCCTTTGAGGTTAAGAAGAACATTTCTGAACATTTTAAATGACTGCAGTGAACTATGCCTTTGGAAGCAAGATCTTACCAAGGGAGGTTTACTCCTTTTTCCGGGCAAATCCATCCTAACTTATTTATTAATACTCTGTGTGTATGACAGACAGAGGAAAGGATATGGACTGAATGTTAGCTTACACTGTTGCATATGTCACTTAAATTGGCATCTTTATTTACTCTACAATAGGTTTAGACAATGCAATTATTCGTCTGATGTTGAAATTATAACATGACAATGCTATCAGTCTAAAGACTGTTACTGCCCTGGCCTTGGAGAGAGAGAAGGAGTGGCAGTTTCTGCTGGACTTAATTCCGTTTCACTGTGATCCCTGTTCCTGGTGTCTGTCTGTAGATCAGGTATGGGCAAACTTCAGCCCTCCTGGTGTTTTGGATGTCAACTCCCACAATTCCTGGGGCTGAGGCCAGGAATTGTGGGAGTTGAAGTCCAAAACACCCAGAGGGCTGAAGCTTGCCCATGCCTACTTTAGATTGTAAGTCTATGGGCAGGGAGCTGTTTTTTTTTATTGGTTTTTCCTCTTTCTCTAAATGCACCATGGATAATGATGGTGCTAAATATAACAGAATAGCTTTATTTGGCACTAGCCATCCCCTGCCACACGTTACTGTGGCCCAGTCTGTGTATATGTGTGTGTATATATTTGTGTATATTTGTATATGTGCATACATCATAATGTATTTTTTATTTTTTGGCTTTTTAAGTTTCTTCTGCTGTGTTTTTTTTAGTGTTTTTATGACGGATGGTCATTCGTTAGCCTGATAGGTATATTGTGTCCAAATTTGGTGTCAATTCGCCCAGTGGTTTTTGAGTTATGTTAACATCACCATGAACATTACATTTTTATTTATATAGACTAGCTGTACCCTCCACGCATTGCTATGGCCAACTTTCCCTCCCTCTTTCTCTCCTTTTTCTTTCCTTCCTTCCTTCCTTCCTTCCTTCCTTCCATCCATCCATCCATCCATCCATCCATCCTTCTCTCCCCCCCCCCCCTTTTATTTCCCTTCCTCTTTCTTCCCATTTTTCCTTCTCTACCTATTCTTGGACTGCAACTCAATTTGGTGTCAATTTGCCCAGTGGTTTTTGAGTTATGTTAATCCCACAAGCAAACATTACATTTTTATTTATATAGAATGTGCTATTGTACAATTAAATTACATGCCTTCCTCTACACACACCAAAAAACAACACATAAATCCCTCCACACCCACACCACCACCATACAGCCCCCAACGCAACATCAATGCGAAACCACAGAGGTCAACACAGCCATAGCTGTAGGATAAAAACTATCTTTCAGTCTGTTTGTCCTTGCCTTTGTCACTCCGTTCCGTCTACCAGGGGGCAATAATAATAATAATAATAATAATAATAATAATAATAATAATAATAAAAATTGACGGGTGAGATAGATCCCCAAGAAGGTTCTGCACTTTCTTAAGGCAGCGGGAATAATAGTTCTTTCAATGAGGGAAGAAGGCAGGCAATAAGTGATGACCGTTTGGAGTGCCTTCCTATCTGCCACTGTGCAGCTACCAAACCATACTGGAGGAAAGGAAGAAGGTGAAGGTGGTGGCACAGTGGCTACATGTGGAGACTGAAATGGTTAAACAAACCACAGAAGCTCCATCTATTGCTTATTTAACATAATATTCAAGCTGAAGATGCCTATTTATCATGAGCTATGTTTTGTGGGTTTTTTTTAAATTGAGAAAGAGACAAGTTAGAAATCCTGATTCAGATGTTATGATAACCAAACTACATAAAGAAAGCCTGCTCATCAGCAGAAGACCAATGGAAACAAATCCATCTGCATAAGCAGGCTGTTTAGAAATGTTAATTCTGGAAACCTAGCCAAAATTTCACTGGGAAGAAATGCCTTTTTATACAGTTATGGCTGGCACTATTTGCATATAGCAAGAAGTCATGTATCCTGAAATAAGACAAGAATCGTGCAAGATGACAATTTATATACATTATATTTTACATTATAAACTTCTAGCCTCTTCCTGAACGTATTTTGTCCTGTATGGAAAGTTGATATACAGTGTTCCCTCACTTATCATGGGTGTTACGTTGCAGGGCCGCGCCTGTTGGTGGGAAAGGTGCCTGTTGGAGGGTGCGCTACTTGATGGCGGAAGGGGTTGGGCAGAGCCAAAGAACCAATTGAGGAGGCAGCAAAGGCCCAGGCAGCAATGAGGTGCCTCTCTCTCTCGCTCTCATTTCTTCTCAGTGTTCCCTCGCTACTTAAATTCATTTTTTTAAAAAATGGCAAAATAGCGAGTCTGCGAAAAGCAAACTGCGAAGTAGCAAGGGAACACTGCACTATGATGTGGATTACACTACAAACCAAAGAAGTCTGGTCATTACAGGTCTGCTTTCTAAACTTAAAGCAATGCATTTTTAATTGTTTATTTATTATTTATTTACGACGTATCTATCCCGCCTTTCTCAACCCCAGAGGGGACTCAAGGTGGCTTTATACATAGGCAACTATGATATCCAAGAACATGAGTAAAATAATAATAATACAGAGTGTTTCAAAATGATGGACCCAATTTCAAAGCAGCATATGCCACAATGGCAACATGTTACAATTATACAAAATTATACAAATGGCAAATGCTTTCTGGCATTGGCAGATTAATGCCAAAACACTACTGAAATGCATGCTGCACCACAATTACGGATTCAGTTTCACTGAACTGTAGAACACAAAACACTTTATGTTGCAGGGTCACCATCTTGCAAATGACTGAAGCTAGGAGCTATTTGTGTGCCAGGAAAGGCATCGTGGCAATAATTTGAAACTGTATGTCCCACCCTTTCAACTGGTAAGAGTTTCATTCGTGTGCAGTTTGTGTTTGTAGAGATACAGCAATTTCAAATTGGGTCCATCTTTTCAAAACGCCCTGTATTTGTTGAAATGTAAGAGGTTCCAATGCTGAAGCAATGAAAATAACACTAGCAAGAAAGAGTTCATCCCAGTCACAGCCAAAACTATAAAACCTGCCATTGAATTCTTGTGAACTGCTGACTTTTTCAGCTATTTAACATCAGGCCAGGTATTTTCATGCTGGTCGCAAAAGCGGAGTGACAGAAGGCTTGGATGAATATGAACTCTGTGAGTTCTGTCACAGTGTCAAATTCTCCTTGCATTACTGCCCAGTGGACTAATAATAAATTTAATTAAAATCTACACTGTACAGAGACTGAAGCCAAGTGCCCCATCAGGGCATAGTTCAGACTAAACAATGAACATAAAGGTTAAAGGAAAGAAAGGAGTGCTTAATATTAGAAAGAAGGATTATTTTTAACCTTTCTGTAAGTTCATCACTTGGTGTGCTTTTCACAGATAGTTCCTCTTCCAGTCTCTTCCTTTCCATTTCCAGATGCTTCAATTCATCTTGAGAACGTTTGCAAGGGGTGACGAATTGAAGCTCTTTCAGCAACTCTTCTTTTTCATTAATCAGCATCAACTTTTCCTTCTCAATATCCAGTGCTCCAGGCCAAGCTTCACTATCTAACTTAGACAGCTCAATCTTCAAGTTTGCCATCCTAAAACACAAAGGGAAAGAGTACAATTGGGAGGGAGAAGAGAAGAAAATATGAGTAACAGGCATACAAAACTGTCCTTAATATAATAAATACACATTTAGGCTTTGCAAGTCAATATGATATACTTCGCAGTTTGCTTATCACAGACTCGCTGTTTTGTGGGTTTTTAAAACTAATACCATACTTGTCCTCTGCGAATTAGGGGTTCAACCTTCTTGACTGGCATTGTTTGTTAAGACCAGCTTTCATTTTTAAGACAGGCATTTTTCAATATGCTGAAGGGTTTCTTTGAGGCCTCCTCAAACATTCTAGAAACTATACTGCGTGCTTTTTGAAATGAGGAAGAACGTATGGCTAACTGAAGGCCTATCTTCCACAATGCTAGACTGTGGAAGTAGACTGGAATTTGGAGAGAGGCTCAGAAGTAGACTGTGGCCAAGTAGTCCTTGGCCACCGTCTACTTCTGAACCTCTTTTCAAACTCCACTTATTTTACAATTCACTTCTTAGACTAACACAGTTTTTCTCCTGTTCATTTTGCTAATTGGATCCTTCTTCTTAATTATCCCTATCATTATTCCCTTGCCATTTTCCTTAAAAAAAAGTAAAGTTGGATGGCCTCCATAGGTTGCTGATACTGAGAGCTCATCAAGTTAAATGAAGGATTATCAGGTCCCCAATAGGATTTTCAATTCATAGATCCTCCTTCACCCCTTGAATAAGGTTTCTAAAGTGGCTTCCCATATTATGTGGGAAGTTGTGAGTTTACTGTCTGTGTGGTGTTAAGTCTTTTAATGTTCAGTTCTGACTCGGTTTGAACAAATATGCTATATTTAGGTTCATCCACTGTGTTCCTTCTGTTTTAGGATCAATTTCACATTTTAAGTATTTTCTGTAAGAAGTCCAAAGAGTTATCATCCCTCCCTACCAATTTGCACATGACTTTTTTCCAGTATGGGAAAACTTTATGTAAATAGCCACTTCTGATAAGGTCGTGTTAAGGTGGCCTTGCCCCATGATAGCCCAGATCATTTCTGTGTAGTGTTTGGCTGCCATATAGAGCTGATTTTTTCCCAATTCAACCTAAGTGGTCAGTGCAGATACCTCATGCTACTTTTCTCTGTGATGTCTGCAAGTAAAAACTCAACTTTGTAAGGATCAGTTTTACTGTGTGTATCAGGCTAGGAAGGTGAACCAAACCTGCAAATAATATTCCAATCTACTGAACATGTAATTTCGGAATGATCTACACTGTGAAATTGGGAGTCGAATAGTTTTGTTGCCGTTCTTCTGAATCTCTGAATGATTTTTTTTTCAAAACACACAAGTAATCCAATATGAAGAGTTTATGCGGCTTAGAATAAAATGACCTTCATAAGAATGTAAAGCAAAGTCTCTCGTAGATGCAACCAGTAGATGTCACTGCAAGCATTAGATTGGCTACAAAGCTATATAAAAAGCTATAAAATCACATTTAACAAAGAAATGAACCCTGTCATTACCTTCTTTTGGCATCTTCATACTGAAGACTCAGTTTGACCTTTTCAGCTAAATTGGACATGTTCCTGACACCAACCTGTTGACAGAACCACCAAGCTTATTGAACAAATTGTTTTTAAAGAAAAAGAAAGGAAATGATTTAATTACCTAAAATTATCTAAGCAGCGAGCGACACATTTCAAAAAAAGTAACAATTGGTTTTCAGTACAAAAGCTCATAATTACTCACATGGAATTTATATTTTACTGCTAAATCACCTTGGGACAGAATTTAGTACAAGCAGCTACAATTGTGTTTAAGGTCTACTTTGAAGCAACATTTAATACATCCCAAGTTGTTACTTCCTACTTTGAACTCAGAACTTTGGTGGAGATCAATGCAGTTCAAAGTAGCACTTCAATGGAATCGAGATTGCTAAAAACCACATTCATGTTTGGGCTCCTTCTCAGAAAATCCTAGTACAATCACTTCCACATCCTTTCATCATGCTACCTTAAAGAAATATGCCAGCATCTGGAAAACATTTGTGGATATAAACTTATGGCTGGCATATCAGTCAACAAGATCCTGAAGATTCTTAAGTTGCTAAAATGTTAATTCCATCAGTCAGTTTCAGATGTACAAAATGTATTTTGGATGAAATCTTTACTCAACTATGAGGCTTTAAACTTGACTTTTCTTTGAGTTTATTTTTACAATCTCCTCTCTGGAAAAATGAGCATAGAAGAATAAGAAAGATTATTGAAGAATAAGAAAGATTTAGTATAGAATTATTTAACCCTCTCCCAAAGGTACGTAGATTTGAAGTCCTATCTTGAAATAGTAATGATGACTGGCTTCAAAATTATCCCAGTTTAACTTTAGAAATTAATAATGTGCCATCAACAAATCATAACACAACTATATATGGGACTCGCTGGAATCCACAATGTTAAATTATTCACTGGGATATTAAGAAACCTTGGAGAAGAACTCAGAAGTGAAAACAACACAGAAAGGGTCAAAAGACACACTGAGCTGATGGAAGGAAATGGAGTGGAGTGCAATGTATCTCAACATTATAAGGTTATGGACATTTTGTTTAATTTAAAGTCAATTTGAGGCACAATTATCCCTCTAGGACACATGTAGAATAATCACAGGATGTCTCAAACCTAAATTTGTTGATAGACTCTATAAGCTAGCTGGCATTGCCCCCCCCCCCCCCATGTGCGATGGGAAGTTGCAGCCAACTGTGAGAGAAATAATAAAGTCACCCACTGCATGGTTATCAGCCTCCTCCCAGTAGATTCAAATCAAGGAAAAGGTTCATGAGAACCACCACTCTCTTAATGTTCCACCAGCAACAGCAAGAGTATCCCTCTGGGCAGCTAAACCAGGAAATCCCAATTGGATGGCTCCCCATGAAGGTCTGCCTCCAGAAGTAAACCAAATGGGCAACTTGGAAGTCCCTGAACAGACTCAGAAGTGGAGTTGGCAGATCAAAAGACAACCTGGCTAAATGGCCAAGAAGAATCCTCTACCTTGTGCAACTGTGGAGCAGAACAAACAACTCAGCACCTGTATGCTTGCCCACAATGCCCTGCTTCATGCACAGAGCAAGAACTGTTTAAAGCTACAGACAATGCGGTCGCTGTTGCCTGTTGTTGGTCTAAAATTATTTAGCCACTTATGTTCCCTCTATTTTATCAGTTTTATACTAATTTATTTATGCAATGCTTTTGACACAAAATAAATCCCTCCAGGATAACATTTACTCTTGGGAGCCCAACAGATGTGCTTTCTTTCCCACATGGGAATGATGAGGGATAGGGTTACAAAATGAGGGGAGATTTACACATAAAGGAAAAAAATGAATTTATGATATTGTAAAAACAGACAAAATGAAATTTATCACCCTTTTATAATTCCCTAGAATTTTGAGAAATAGCTGGATATAGAATGGACACTAATGACCATAGAAGTTTGATTATTTCACTTTCCCACTCATTTCACATGGAGCAATACGTATTGCTGATAGCTTAGTAAGTTGAATCTATTTTTGAAAAACACTGAATGCGGGGAAGAGATGAAGTCTAAAAGATAACTAACTCCAAAATGGTGAGGAGAGGGGTACACAAAGTCTGAAGAATTGAGGTTTGCTGTAAACATTTCACAAATATTTCAAACAGCAACCCCACTTAGGATCCAGTTGTCTTTAAAATAGTCTATACAAAATTGCTTTTCTGACAAATTGTTTACATTTGACAGAAATGTATCTCTGTCATAGGTATTTACAATATATTACTACTATAAATGTAGTTACTAGTCAATACATTTTTTGTAGATATACTGTATTCTAAATAGCGTCAAAAGAAAATATATTTACTTTATTTATGCCCCACTCTTTTCACCCCAAAGGGGACTCAGAGTGGCTGACCCTCTCATAACTTAGCTCTATTTAAGTGGTTTCAGATCCTAGTATTTAAAAATATTCCTGTCAAATCAAGGCTTCAGAACCTGCCCCCCCCCCCCCACAAAAAACCCCCTCAAAAATATGGCTTGACTATTACCTGATTTTAATATCAGCAAGAAGTTATGCTACAGCCATCCTGAACAGCTGGATGATTCACATCATCAATTACCAGCAATTGGACTGAAATCCCTTCAAGAATGTTTTTGCACCTATGCTCTCCCTCTCAAAAGGTATGAAAAACTTACCTCACCAGAAATGTCCGTCTGAGACCCTGCATCCAAAGTTTGTCGAGAGAGAGAAAGATGAGAGTGCACTTGGCTGCACCTCGTATCTAGTTCTGACGACCTGTAAATAGTTTGGTCTAAGAGGAACCTCTCCCGCAACTTCACAAGACTCTGCAAAAAAAACACAAAAAAGTTTTGCTTTTTTATCATGTCAGAAGTGACTTGAGAAGCTGCAAGTTGCTTCTGGTGTGAAAGAATTGGCTGTCTACAGAGACATTGCACAGTGGATGCCTGGATGTATTACCATCCTGTGGGAGCTGGAACTGACAGATGGGAGCTTACCCCGTCTTGCAGATTCAAACCACCGACCTTCAAGTCAGCAATTCAGCCAGCACAAGGGTTTAACCCATTGTGCCACCATGGCTCCACAAAAAATAGTGACTAGTATATTTCATACTGGGGGGGGGGGGGAGGCAATGGAGGAGTGAGACTAAGGGTTAGCCTATACCAAACCTTGTACTCACCATAAATGGGCTGTCTCCATCATGTATAGTGACTTCCAGTATCATTTTTTCAATTTAAACCAATTTTTCCCTGCTTTGGGCAAAATAGGGGGGCACTCCAGAGTTTCTTGGGGCTTCGGAGCAGTCTGCACAGTGGAATTGCGTCTGATTCAGCCCAATTTGCTGTCTAAACTGGACATCAGCATCAGTATCATTTCCCTGTGCTGACCATTACAGAGAAAGAGGATGGACTGTGCCCGTGTTACCACTGCTCCTAACCTAGACTGCATCCTTCTTCTTGTTGGTTGAGCGAGCACCCGTTTCTGACATTAGAAGAGCCGACCGTGACAGACAGGACTCAGACAGGGCTCAGTGGCTACCTCACAGCAATGGCAGCTACACAGAAGAGCTGACAGCCCAGAGGAGAAGATGCAATGCCAGGCTGTCTGGACAATACCCCAGGATTCAGCACAAATCAGTGGGTTACACCGCTGAGCTGCTGAATTTGCAGACCAAAAAGTCACGAGTTCGAATCCAGGGAGCGGCATGAGCTCCTGCTGTTAGCCCCAGCTTCTGCCAACCTAGAAGTTCAAAAACATGCAAATGCGAGTAGATAAATAGGTACTGCTCAAGCGGGAAGGTAATGGCGCTCCATGTAGACCTGCCAGCCACATGATCTTGGATGTGTCTATGGACAACCCTGGTTCTTTGGCTTAAAATGGAGATGAGCACCAACCACCACAGTAGGACAGAACCAGACTTAATGTCAGGGGAAAACTTTTACCTTTACTAACCTGCCCAGTATAGATGAGCCCTAAGATATGAAGAGGTAACCAGAACTCTTCATCAAAACTTTATCAATCAATCGGATAAGTCAATACTGTCAAAAGTGATCTTTGCATTGGAAAAACATTAGTATACATTTGTCTAAAAAATAGGTCTAAAAATAGGTCTTTCAAGAAAGCAAAATGAAAAGCCACAATTAGCAAACCAATTAGCTAATGGTGGAGTATGAACAGTATCAAATTACCTGCATTAAATCTTGCTTCTCTTTTTCACCAGAGCTTATAGCCTTTCTGATAGATTTCAATTCATTCACAATGGCTTTGGCTTCACTTAGTTCATACCCACTCTGGCCTCCAGACATTTTTTGGTCAATTCTGAGAAACAGAGAGAGATTGGTGTTAACTACAGAAAAAGAATGTTGTTCCTGCCATTCAAAAGGAAAGAGTATTGGGGAAAGGAATGGACAGATATTTCTAAAAAATATATTATTTCCCACAGCAAAGTAGCTCGCTACTTGATCAGAACACAAAAGGAGAGAAGGGTTCTTTAATCTTAGCAACAAATGCTCTCACCAAGTCCTACTTCTTCAATGACTTCCTTCCCAAAAAAACCAACATCTTTTACAAAGGAAAATCTTATACATTCTGCAAAAGAAATGCAACAGCCTGAGCTCTTTCATAAATGTCTAATTGGGTTGGCAAAAGGACTCAAGTCACTTGAAATAAAGGCTGAAATCATTAGCCACACTTATGTGGGAATAAAGTTATCTGAACAGAGGGGACTTCCCTCCGGGTAAGTATATATTACAATAATATTACAATATAATGGTGTAGTACAATATAGTAATATATAATACTGATATTGTACTATACTAATAATTTAATATATTGTATGTATATATATCTTGTAGGCCACTCTGAGTCCCTTTTGGGGTGAGAAGGGCGGTATATAAATGTCATAAATAAATAAATAAATAATCACATAGCTTTCAGAGATACATATGAGGAATCAGTTGGTAACATTTCCCTTTTCTTTTGGCAATTTGTCCAAATGTCCAGTTGCAACTTAAATATATCTAAGGAAACAACAGCTGATAGCATTGTTTATTTTTCAGATTTTTTTTCTTCTTCTTTGGGCTGATCTGTATTCAAAGCTAAATGATTTTTATACACTTAGAAGCTATTGTGAAATAAACATATTGCAAAGAAAATATGGACAGAAAGATTTTTTTCTTTTTTCTAGTCCTTTTTCTTCACCCCACAATTGATTGATTTCTAACACTAACAATCAAATTTACAAGCAAAATAAAACACATTCAAAAAATAAATAGCAGGAAGAAAAAGTGAGAAAAAGAAGGCAAAAAGGGGAGAACAGAACAGTGCTCTGACTCTTTCAGTCCTGATGGGAATTAATTACAGATCTAACAAAACAATCCTATTAAAATTACTAATAACCACCAATTATTACACCGTAGTTCTACCTATTCCTTGACACGAAAGCTTGTTTTGCTTCCACATAGGAATCAACAAGACCCCACTTGACCCAGGCATACTTATCATACCTGTGATGCCAAGTATATCATTACTGGGGATCCAGACAGCAAGGCCTTCAGTTTCAGGACTCGCCACCCTCCCCACCTCCCTCTAGGCCTGTAAGCAAGAGAAGGAATCTCAACATAGGAGTCCTGTCCTGAAAAGAATTGCTTTAAAATTGTGAGTCAATGACTCCCTGTCCTGGTTGTTGTTTTGGAGCAGCTGCTTAGATCTTCCATGTGACCCACATGGCTGCCCTTCTCAAAATATTTTGTACAGGCACCGGGGATCAGCAGAAGGGAGAAGTCAACTCAGAGAAAAACCACTGAGTTGCTAAACTTGTTGACCGAAAGGGTGGTGGTTCAGATCCAGGGAGCGAGGTGAGCCCCCACTGTTAGCCCCAGCTTCTGCCCAATCTACCAATTTTAAAACACGTTAATGTGAGTAGATCAATAGGTACCACTTTGGCGGGAAGGTAATGGCGCTCCATGCAGTCATGCTAGCCACATTACTTAGGTTGTGTCTACAGACAACGCCAGCTCTTTGGTTTAGAAATGGAGATGAGCACCACCCGCCAGAGTCAGACGCTACTAGACTTCATGTCAAGGGGAAACCTTTACCTATCAGTATTTACCAAATATTGTAATAAATGACAGCTGCACTGTATTCTTTATTTTAGTTTTCCTGAGTTGGTTCCCACTTTCCTCACCTACATGAAATGATGACGCTAGTCTGCTATTTTCTTTCTGGATATCAACAAGTCTGATATCAATATCATTCTTCTCTTGTTAGCTTTGGCACTTGATGCCTTTCTATGTTAATTCTTAAGTCCACTTTTCCATCTTTCTAGTCCTCTTTCATCTTTTCCCTTCTACACAATTCTTCTGAAAATCTTCTCTTCTTTCTTTCCACCACCTACCTACCTACCTACTGACCTACATTTCTTTTTCCTTCACCCCTTTCCCTGAATTTTGGACAGGACAGACTAGATCCCATGGTTAAGTCCAACCAACCTCTGGAAAGGAATGATAATAATAATAATAATAATAATAATAATAATAATAATAACTTTATTTATACCCCACCCCCTCTCCCCGAAGGGACTCAAGGCAGCTTAGAATTGGAAATTCAACCCTTTTCCCCTCCGTCTCCCAATCGTTCTGCTGTCTTGACCGACATCACTCCCGCGCCATAAGCAATGGACATCAGTGCAACAATGGGAACAGGAAGAGGACAGAAAGGGTGCTGCCACTGGATGGTCAGAATTTCCTCTCGCCTACCTATTGGCCTGAACGCTGGTGGTAAGAACTCCTTCCTACTTTTACTGGAAGTTGGCAAAAAGAACCATACCAACCCAGAGTTCAATACTTTGCATTGACTCCATAATATTGTGTCTGTGCGGAATGACCCCTAGTCTCTTGGTATCTTGCATGCTCTTCATTTCCTTGGAATAATGCCCCTTTTAACTAATTTTTTTAACTGTCTGAGGTTTTTTTTTTTTTTACCATCACAACAAATGTTAATAATCCATTATGCTCACTGTGCACCTAAATGTATTTGTAATACAATAATAATAAATAATAAAACTTTATTTGTACCCCGCCACCATCTCCTCGAAGGGACTCGAGGCAACTAACAAAGCACTCAAGGTGCCACACTTAAAACAGAATTACATATCATCAAAACAATACACAATTTGACTGGATACAAACAATGGATAACATCCATCGAAAAAAATTTAAAAAATTAAAAATTCTAAAATGCAGTCATACTTGTGGGTCATTGGATTTCTTCAAACACAAACTAAAGTGCCCCATAACAATGGTTGATGTCATCACATGACCATACTACATTGCTCCAGATCAAAGGCCCGTGTAAATTTATTTTATTTATTTAGAACTTTTGTATCCCGTTCTTCTCTACCTCCGTTGAGGGACTCAGAACGGCTAACAGCAAAAATTTAATGCTATACAATAAATAGTATCATAAAACAACAAACAATAAATAAGTTCTAAAATACATATAAAAACAATTCATTACATTAAAAACAACATCCAACTCAGTTCAAAACGTTGTGGCCAAATAACTCTTAGTCTATATCAAATCACCTGTCAATCTGCAAATACCTGACTCCACAGCCAGTATTTTAGCTGGTTCTTGAATGACAGGAGAGAGGGAGCAGACCTAATTTTGCCGGGGAGAGAGTTCCATAGTAGGGGGGCTACCACAGTGAAGGCTCTGTCCCCACCAAACGTCCCCACCAAACGTGCCTGTGAAGGTGGTGGAACCGAGAGCAGGGCCTCTCCAGAAGATCTTAAAGTCCTTGGTGGTTTATAGTGGAAGATGCATTCGGACAGGGAAACCGGGCCGGTCAAGGAACAGGTAGAACTATGATGTAATAATTGGTGGTTATTAGTAATTTTAATAGGATTGTTTTGTTAGATCTGTAACTGGGCCTGAGCTATATAGGGTTTTGTAGGTTAAAACCAGCATTTTGAATTGTGCTCGGAAGCTAACTGGCAGCCAGTGGAGCTGGTGTAACATGGGGGTTGTGTACCCAGCAACCAGAGTGTGGAACACCATGGCCATGTTTTAGGCTCAAAGGGACAATTTGGAGAATCAGGGCTAATTTAATGCCTCTAGGGAGGGCATTCCAAAGCAGTATGTGAACTGTTTTGACGGGATTGGGGGAGGGGGATGGTTTACCTGTTTCCAAGGATTTATCAATATTCACCATATTGTTCAAGATCAGATTTCAGTCAAGAAAAGATCCAAATTAATGAGAGATGCTACAGCCTACATGGCACCTCTTAGGACTGTGTCTCAATTTATTTTGTAAAGGTACACTATGAATCATAACACTGTTTTATGATATAGATCGGTAGGTATATTATTCCTATATGTGTATCAACTGAGTTAAGCCAGCATGGCACAAGAAAGGCTTCAGCAAAAGTTAATTAAAATAACCATTGATAGCAAATTGTTTCCACCTTATCTCGACCCTTTATGCTTACAGAGGCAATTTTAATGAACATGTCTGTGAACTCCCTTCCTCTTGCTTAGCTCTAAAGAGGCATTCAAAAGGTTTTGTTTCTTATTTCCATGCAACTGTGGCTTACCATTCTTCTAAAGATGACCAAACCGTAGTCATAGCCTTAGCAACACTTAAGTATTATATCAAAACTCAGCCAAAGACGATATCAGTGACCCATTTGACATGTATTTTTGCTATGACAAAGAGAATATTTACTCCATGAACACATTTATTTTTCCCCCAGCTTATCTCCACATTAGAGCAAATGCACACACAAAACAAGAGGTACGAATGAGATGTCTTACAGAACACTGTTTGCCCGCTGCCTCACTGTGATGTCTCATATTTTAAGCTGCAGCTGTTTTTATCTTGCATGCAGCAAAAATGAAGGAAAAGGTCCTACAGTACAAAAGATATTCCAACTCCCAGTAAACAGAATTATTGCTAGCAAGAAAACGGCTGCCTAGGGATTTTTCCCCCAACAAATGTCTATTGTTTGCTTGTGGTATGCTTCTGAAAGTTTCTCAAACATGCTTTAGATTCCTATCAAAATTGCTTGCAAGCAAGTTCCTTTAAAACAATACTTCATTGTTACATTAATGTAATACAACCAGTGTGTTTGGCTAACCTTTAATCTTGGGATAGTATGAAAAGCTTTAAAGCTCGAGATCTAAGTTTCTGTTTTTAAGCATGCTAAGGTGAAAACGAAATGATTGTCAAATAGGTACCAGTTAATTTTTGGGCTGACTTTCTAATATTTATTTAAATTCACAGTGCTTGCTGCTGTGAAGAATGTGTAAACATTAATTCTGTTCAGCTTCACACTTAGCCAACACAGAAAGTAAAATTTCCAGCACTCGAACTGCAGCGGATCACAGGCAGAGCTAAATTCTTAACAGATTGTAAAGGCTGACCACCAGGTCAACAATGGATTGAATTCTCAGCATCTTCAGTTGCAGGGGATCAGTTCAAATGATTCCCAACTAAAACTTCTTTGGGAGTATAGAAAATTCTTAAGCTGCAATATCAGTACAGTTCTTATTAGCAATGAAAATTGCTGCCTCTTTAGCACAGGGACAATCTCCAAGCAGATATATAGGGTATGTGGACATTATCTTTACAATTTCAATTTGCCCCCTCTCTCCTGACCTTTAGGAAAAGAGTAAAAACCTGGCTCTTTGAGCAAGCTTTTGGAACCTCATTGTATCCAGATAAATTCAGTATTGTGAACGAATATGAAACAGCTTAATGATGCAAATGGCCATGAATGTAAACCTGGAAGTCATTGATTTTTATAGTTTTGAATAGTTTTATATGAATTTTATTATGTGATTTAACCTGTTTTAATTGATGTATTTATGTGTGTTCGGCATGTAATTGTTGCAAGTTTGTACGCCACCCTGAGTCACCTTCGGGCTGAAAAGGGCAGTATTAAAGTGTGGCAAATAAATAAATAAATAACTCATAAAAATAATGTTCACATACCTGTCAGAAATATTAAAAATTAACTAGGTATTTTAAATTACAAAAATGTGAGTCAAGCACTGAAAGGGTTAAATGGATGCAATGACTCAGCAAAAGCTGTAGTTCAATATAAGCAGGAGTGCCTGTAGTTTAGTAGGCCTCAATGTTAGTTCGCCTCACTGTGAGAGAGGTGTCAGTTTGAGAGAGCCCTCAGTGTGAGAAGGTCTCAGTGTGTAGTAGGCCTCAGAATGAGAAGGCCTCAGTGTTAGTTTGCCTCATTGTGAGAGAGGTGTCAGTCTGAGAGAGCCCTCGGTGTAACAAGGCCTCATTGTGAGGTAGGCCCCAGTATGAGTAGGCCTGGTGTGAGAAGATTCGGTGAGAGAAGCCCCAGGTTGAAGACCATTGTGTGAAGGCTGCGGTGTGTAAAAAGCTCCTGTGTAACTTCGGTGTGAGAAGCGGCTCTGTGAGAGCGAAGCTGTTTATCTGCATGAAAAAGAAGCCCAGCGTGGAAGTAAAGAAGGAAGTGTAAAGAACTTTATTTGTGTTATGGAAACCTTGTTTTTGTAAATAGTACAACCATATTATTTTGCTATAAAGAAAAGCCTCCCATGGAAAAGATAACATTGGTCTGTGTGTTTTTGTTCTTTTTATCACTTTGGGCTATTGGTGCTGGGTCACGCCGCTGCTAAGTTACTCTGCTGTACATTGATGAAGAGGGTCTTTTGTTAATAAACCCACTCACCCAACAATACCTTGTACATATGGTGTACATCAAATTGTTCTGTAGTTGGGAAGCAGAAAATTAGTGGACAAATTTGCAACTTATTTCATTTTCTCTTTCTTGTTTGTTTCACATTTCTCACTCTAACATGCCTTTCTTTCCATGTGACATTAATGAAGGTAGTAAAGATATAATCACAGGGTTGCTGTGAGTTTTTTGGGTTGTATGGTCATGTTCCAGAAGCATTCTCTCAGGACGTTTCGCCCACATCTATGGCAGGCATCCTCAGAGGTTGTGAGATCTCGCAGAAAATTACAGCAACCCAGTGATTCCGGCCATGAAAGCCTTCGGTAACAGATCTAATCATAGTTTTAGAATTCAAGAGGTAGGTAAATGTAGCATTACTACTTTATCTTTTTTTTCCCCCTATCTGGTTCTTTGCTCTTCTTAATATCACAAAGCAAAGGGAATAATTCAGGTCTCCCACTTTTAAAACCTTTGAAACAGTGTAATGCTCTTTTTTCCCACCTTCCCAGAAACCCTCATCTTCCATTATAAACATTGTTATTCAAATTCAAACAAAATATCTTTATTTTAAAGGACAGGTTGGTTTTTACCATAGCCAGAAGGCAGCAGGGGTTTTTTTTCCTCTAAGTTGTTCCCTTATGCCAAAGCTTTTCACTGTAAATGGATGTAATAATTTTATTTGATTTGGTCCTAATCAGCAGAGTGAATCACTTAAGTCAATTTCAATTATTTTCTTATACTCACTGTTGCAATGTTTCATAGCCTTGCTCCTTATATAGTAATTCTTGCTTCATCTGTGAGAGCTCCCTCTTCAGTTTTTTAACCTTTGATTAAAAACAAAAGATAAAAGATGCAGTCAATCCTTTTAAGGCATTAAGGACACAAGGTCTAGAATCAGTAACATCTCCATACATGAACCAAACACTGGGTCTAATTCTTAGTTATAGTACCACAAGCTTTATCTCTACTTTTCAGATACCATAACTATAGGATAATGTATCACTTGAAAACGTTTTACACATTATTTTGTGCATGTAAAATGTGTCCCTTCCCTTCCCAAAGTCTACACTGTTCCAGTTCAAATTTGGCCATAAAGCCATTCTGGTTATTTATTTATCGTGTCATCAGCAACCATACCACTGTATTACATTTCTAACAGAACAAAACAAACACACAGATTACAAAAAAAAGCCATGGTTTAACCACTATCACCAATCTCCTTTGTTTATCTATGATGTTTTACAAGCAGTCCCCAAATTATGATCAAGATAGGTTCTACAGGTTTGTTCTTAAGTTGAATGTGTATGGAAGTTGGAACAGTTACATTTATAAAGTGTAACTCCAAAGGTTTCCCCTTGACATTAAATCTAGTTGTGTCTGACTCTGGGGGTGGTGGTGCTCATCTCCATATCTAAGCTGAAGAGCCGGCATAGTCCATAGACGCTCCAAGGTCTTGTGGCCAGCATGAAGCGTTGTTACCTTCCCGCAGAAGCGGTAACTATTGATCTACTCACATTTGCATGTTTTCGAACTGCTAGGTTGGCAGAGGCTGGTGCTAACAACAGGAGCACACCCCATCCATGGATTCTAACCACCGACCTTTCAATCAGCATGTTTATAAGTCATGGAGTGCCTGAACTAAACTTCTACTGGACCAGTCTGGTAATTGTGAAAAGAGCCATTCTGTATACAGAAGATTATATATTTCTTGGATGCATGTGTGTGTATAATCAACTGGCCCAGTGCCAATATTTCAATAGTGGCTAATCATATATCACTGCACCTCAGAGAGTGGAGAAATATTTTGAACTGGTCCTTATTAGGGAGAGGATTCCATAGGTAGAGTATCACAACTGAAAGGACTTTCTCCCTTATTAGCAAACCTTAGGTTTCTCTTGGAGGAAACTCTTGCAAGAAGGTCCCAGATGTCAACCTGAAGGTTCAGGCAGAATAATGCAAGGAGTGGTTTTCTGTCAAGTATTGGTAGTATTTGAGTGGATACTTGGGGAGATTTTCTCTATCTGCCTCAAACCATTCTCCCACTTTGCTTTACTGCTCTGAACTTTGGGTTACGCCATACAATTATCCAAGCTAGTGTTATTCAAAGTGTTGGTCCCCGGACTGGAGTTATATAAGACCCTTGTCAAACATCTGGAACCATTAAGTTCTTTTCAAAGCCCATTTTAAGAAATCATCTGAATTTCACAGAGTAGAAAAATTGCAGCAGGTCTCCATCTCAATAGGAGATAAGCTGGCTTTGCTAAAGGAATCAACCTGTCCACTAGGCTTGTGCGCAGCTTCGATTTGGTGGGTTCCCTTCGGCTAATCTGGCTGGTTCAGCTGGCCATAATGGCAAGGACTCAGCCTCCATATTTTTTTCCGGCCATAACAGAACAGTGCCTGTTGAAAATTGGCTGCCTTCAGTTACAAGTGGAATGTGGGAGGGAGGCAGCCGCTAAAAGGAAAAGCTGAGAGGGGGGGGGGATGCACTACTTCAGGGACTGCCAATCAAGAGAAAAGAGAAGGCTTTTTAAAGGAAGCTTAGGGTAGGATAGTTCTAGGTTGATCACGCTTCCTTCCCTGGGAAGTGGGGAAGCTTCCTTAAAATGCTTTGGAAAGCTGCTTGCTGCAGGGAGAGAGCTCTCCTCTAGAGTAGAAACAGCTTTAATGAAGCATTTAACCTGGTCTCCTCTACAGACAGAAGGGGAAGGATCGCAGAAAGAGTGGTATCTTAACTCTGATGTTTTTACTCCAACTCTTAATGAAGGATATAAGGACAAACAATGCCTAAAATAGCTTCTTGTGGGTTTTTTCAGGCTATAGGGCCATGTTCTAGAGGCATTTCTCCTGACGTTTCGCCTGCATCTAGGGCAAGCATCCTCAGAGGTAGTGAGGTCTGTTGGAATTAGGACAATGGGTTTATGTATCTGTGGAATGGCTGTGGTGGGGCAAAGAGCTCTTCTCGGCTGGAGCTAGGTGTGAATGTTTCAACTGACCACCTTCATTAGCATTTGTAGGCCTGGCTGAGCCTGGGAAAATCTTTTGTTGAGAGGTGTTAAGATGTGCCTGGTTGTTTCCTCTCTGCTGTTTTGCTGTTGTAATTTTAGAGTTTTTTAATACTGGTAGCTCCCAAAAGACTGATCAGGACCCCCCACCAGAAACTGGGACATTGAAACGGGATCACAGTTTACCCGGATTACATAACCCTACTGGACACTCAAGAAAACCAAATGCAAAGTCTGACCCCCTACATATGTGAGACAGACACATTACTGTCATGACAGACTAAGTCATGAATTGTCCCATACCAGACAGCTTCATCATTAATGTTGATATGGCCCAATGCCACAAAACAGGAGGTCCCCAGTTTGTTTACAATCCATCCATATGCTAAAATCCTCACACAGGTAATAAACTAGAATATGAGATAGAAGGATTAGCAAGGTGCTTCCTCCATGAGTTACAGGAGTAGGTTTACATGCATTTTATTAGCTATTAATGGAAATGCGTAATTTAACTGTCATTGTATATTAATTATTGCTGTTTTTATTGTCTTTGCTGTTGGAAACGGCTGCGAGTCGCCCTCGGGCTTGAGATACAGCGGTATACAAGAATAGTAAATAAATAAATAAATAAAATAATTTTTTTCAAGTGGGGCAAAAATCAAACATGTAATTGGATGTCCTCTGCAAACACTACATGCATTTTAACTAATTAATTCTCATATCCTAAATTCCAAAGATGCAAGTCAATCAAATAATTTGCTTACACAAATATTTTATGCCCCCTATGCACATCACAATCAAAAACATTTATCAACTGCAAGCACATTAACATGTAATTTTAATATAGAAGCAATAAGGAGTTCCTGGGCAGAGCATCAATTAGCCTATCCTATAAGTGTGTCGTAAATAAGATGGCAGGGGCAAATTGAATGCTTTGCAGACTTTGCCATGACCTGAGAGGAGTATAAATCAGACTTGAATGTCACATCCTATTGCTAGAATTGTTAATCTTTATTAGTGTTCACATACTATATAAATCAATTATCTTCGAGAGGAGTAATAGGCAATTCCCATTCTTGGATATGCTAATGCTTTCTAATTTGGTGTGAACTAACTGTTCCTCAAAGGACTAACTACTTGGAGCAGAAGACACTGCATGTGTCAGTGCTCAATTATGTCTGTGAGAGGATCTTTTGGTTTCAACAGTACAAGTCTCAGTATCACATATAAATAAGCCCTTGTTAGCATATGTTGAGCGCAAAGGCATTCTATCTTCCTCTTGATGTTCATGAGCAAGTAGCTAATGTGAAACATGCCAGATTAAAAGAGACCTCTTTATTTGGATGACCTCTTTATAGCAATTAAACTTGAAATTCGCATTCAGTTCCTAAGTAAATTTGTTATTAGTTGTATCTGCATGCCACCTGTTCTTATTCAAGGGGGATAACACCTACTGACACCGCTTGAAAGAGAAAGTGTTCCTACAAGTAAATGGGGAAGGATTCCCAAAGGCCACCTTGGTGGAGAGCAGTGGGGTAGAAAGTGGCAGTATCTCGGAATCCACACATTAGCTGAGGAAGCAAGAACCAACCATATGAAAAACTATACTTACTATGATATGCATCACATTAAAAACTAAAAACTTTTCCAGACCATCAAGAACATGAATAAATTCAAAACCAAACAGTGTATTTCACATGATTACTAATAGCAAGGCTGAAGGGCAGAGTATAAACAAATAAACAATAAACAAATATATAAATGTGAAAAACAGTTCATGTCTATATGTGTTTAATATTACCAAATGTTCAGTTTGAATCATTGAGAAGTTCAGCGCCTAGATAGACATTAACTACCAAAGAAGATCACAATGAACATGTATTTTTCAGTAAATTATGTATTCTTACCCTTAATCTTGTAGTAGAAATTTCTGCTTTCAGGATATCAGGGTCATACTTAGTGCTGGAAGAAGAGCTTGAGAACACTTATTTTTAAAACGAGGAGAGAGTAAAAAGACATTTAGACAGATGGGAAAGCATTATTTCTATTTTCTAAGATTCGTGTCATTTCACAACTGTTAGATTAACATTATTTTAGATATAAATACACTTTAATACACTCTTCTCCAGTAATGTAATCAAATTTGGAGCCTAACAATAACAACTACTCAATACACATACACACACATTTTGTCATCATACTGACATCTTAAAGAGATGATGATGCATGACTGAAAGTTTTAGAAATGTGCAGACAACGGGGTTTTCCCTTGCTCTAATGTTCTTCTTGAAAACTTTGACTAAAATTTAAATTAATACGGAATTGATTCTGTTAATTCTAACTCTCAAGCCTACCTGATAATGGGAGAACTTGTGCAGAGGATAAAGACAATTTTGTCAGTATTATGGTTTTACTGGTGTGAAATACAGTTTATAGTTTTAAACTCTGTCTGTGTCTGGTGCAGGACAGAATGCTATGTAATGCTATGCAATGGTTAAAGGCATAGATGTGATTTATTGCCTAGAGCGTGAATTGTGACCATTTCCTGTATACGTCACACATTCCAATGACGTGGATTTGAGATAACGGACTAATGGGTGCGTCCTCTTCCAGCCATGTCGGGAAACGAGCAAGACGCGTGTGTGATTTTTCCTGTACATAGTTATGTTTTGTTATTTTCTGTAGCTGTTAGAAAGTAACTAAATAAAGTACCACTTCAAGGATTTAAAGTTGACGAAGGACTGTGCACTCTGTTTTCATTGTGTGCCTCATTGCAGTTGCACTGAGGCCAAACTTTATTGACATATTTCATGGTTTTTGTGATTGGAATGCACTGTCCAGGTGAGCTGGACATCAAATTGAGATAGTAGATTAAATATTTTTTAGTGGGGGGTGAATTAAAGCCATTTTTAAAATCTAAGGCATAACCTAGATTAGTAAAGTAATAACCTACAGTTAATGTACATCTCAGTTGAGACTGTCATGCTTCACTGAACTTGGGCTCTAAGTCAACTTTGAGATCTGTGTGCTTCAAAAATGACAATGGACAATTTCTTGAGTGTCAACCAGCTCTCTGATCTGTGTGAGAGCGATACACCTCTGAAAGCTGATGTTTTAGCACCTCTTCTCTCCACTGCCATTTCAGTAATCATCTAGCAACTACAGAGGCACACAAAATAGCCAATCCACCTAGATTCAGTTTCTCATTTTATCTCCTAGCTTTTATACCATGTGCCAACTTCTGATTAAGAGTTTTGGCAAATCTGTTTGCATTTCAGTAGTCCTAATTCTGCATCTTGCTTTTACTTATGAACCATGCAGCTTAGGATAGGTCAAAACTCTGCCTTGCAAACAATCCAGGTATCTTTCCCTTAAACCAGAAGAATGAAAACAAGAGACATGGTCGAAATAGCTCATTTCTCATGACTTACAGCTTGTGCGAGAGCTTGACTTCTCCTTGTAGGCATCATTCAAGCGTACATATTCATCCAATGCAAGTGCCAGTCTCTGTTCTTTCACATGGTACAATTCCTTTTGAGTGTTCAGTGCATCCTGTGCTACTGTAAGGTAATCTTTTAGCATCTTTTCTTGTTCTTGCCTCCATTGTTTTCTTGGATCTTCTATTTGTGTGGTCTCTGCAGAAATACAATAAATAAACGTGTCATTCGGTTGAATAAAACTTGTAAAGTTTAACAAAGGTCAAGTCACTAATATTACCCACAACTTTTTTTTTCAAAAAACCAACTTTGAAGTTCTAACTTTTACACAATGACTCCTTGAACTGGGCAGTCATGTCTTCAGCCTATTAGACTATTGTTAAATTCAGGGTCAGAAAACTCCTATGCTCCAGGTATCACTGGACGGTAGCTTTTATCAACCTCAGATAAGAGACAGTAGGGAGGGAGGATGGAAGTAGCCATCAATAACCTTTGGGCACATTATTTATTTGTATTGTGTCTTTCATTTTTATGTTTATTTTTTCATGCAATTCGTTCTTTGTTGTTATTATTTTGTATTATGTCATTTTGCTTTGACGTATTTGTACTTATTTGGGCATTGAATGTTTGCCTTCTTTGAGTGTAACCTGCCCCGAGTCCCTTTGGGGGGGAGAGTGTGGTCTAGAAATAAAGTTGTTGTTGTTGTTGTTGTTGTGATTGTTGTTGTTACTGACTCTCTGAATTACCTCCCACCTTGCCCCAGCAAAACCAACACATCCATACATTCTGTAACTTTCTGTGCATTTATATCTAGTATGTTGTAACTGGGGCCATTTCCTAAACAGGAATAAGAAACTTCTAGTCTGTAAGGCAAATTGAGTCCACAAGGCTGTCTCAGTCCAGTTCCCAGAGATGTGGACATGGTTGCATGCTATCCCTGTAGCCCTGACTTATCAAGCAATGAAATAGTAGGGATGGCAACTTTGAAGTGAAGTCAACTACCAAAATGTCAGCTGAAGGAGCCCGCTTCCAGGAAACATCTTCCCTATTCTGAAACTAGTTATGAAAGATTTTCAGAAATGCAACATATTTTAATTAATTAAAAATGATGCTACATGCTCTCAATGAGTACACCATTAACACTATATATTGCAAAGTTAGGTCATCCATCATAATCTTTCTTTGAAGAAAAGGGGCAAAATGAACAGAGCGGTACCACCAGGGGGTTGAGAAGGGCGGGGTAAAAACAACCGAAATAAATAAATAAATAAATAAACAAACAAACTAGTCTCCCTCTATCTTTCAGCTCTTGTTTCTCTTCACTATTCTAGTCTGGGGTATTTGTGCTACAAACCCATTGTTTCTTGTTCTACCAAAAGCTTTTTGTCCTTTTGCTCATTTGTGCTGTTTTTCTCTTGTTGCTCTACATATAGTACTTGGAAATGTCTTCCTGGATATTTATCGTTTGCTCCTTCCATTACTGTTTTCAAGTCTAATTAAAGACATTTTTTTGTTTTCTAAAGCTTTAGGGATTTTATTTTACTTCTACTTCTATGATTTTGTATATTCAGATATTTGGCTACCTTGTTTTTGTAACTGTGTCGTACTGGTTTTTATTGTTTGTATTATTCTTATTTTCCCTCTATATTACTTTTTATGGTTTTTATTATTAGGTTGTATATCTATGGAAAGGATTGTTGTTCTGTTTACTTCTTTACAGTTCGTATATATTACTGGTCTTAAGTAAATAAATATACAAATAATAGAGCTGGGTTATCATCCGGCCCACTGGTGTAATGAATGTGTGTGGCAGAGTGGGCAATTGTGGTCCTCCAACGACGAACAATTATGGTAGCTGCAACCCTAAATCATCTAATGATACTGGAAAGTCAATAATTCTACACTCTTAGCTGATTTTAATGCTATCCATCTGTATATATTTTTTCTTTTTCCTTTTTTCTACCCACCATCTTTTAACCCCTTTTCTTATTTCTCATTGTCCTTCCCCCCATGTTGCCCGCCCTCGTTTTTGACTGATCTCAAACCCCCCCTTTTTACTTCACACTTCCATTCTTAACAAATCTACAACTATATCTTTATATATCTACTCCTATTTAAAGTTCTTTGCTATTTTATTACAATCACGTATTCTTTTTAGACCAAATAAATACTATTTGATTTAAAAAAAATCTAATGTTGTCAATTCCAAACCAACAAACGACTGCTCACCTTTGGTTTGAAAACACACCTGTCATGATCAAATGTGGTAGTACCAACACAGATGAAGATGTTTATACATTTGCTATTGCCACGGCCATGAAAAGACAAGGGAATGTGGACAACCATGGGACGACAGCCACCACAGAATAGCAAGAGAAAGTATTAATGTTTAAAATTGCCCATTAAATATTTTCCACCATTAGATTAAAAATAAACGCTATGTAAGAAACCTATTCAGTGTAACCTGAGATAACTATGTGCTGCATTAAAAAGATGTGCACATTTCTCTAGTATTGACACACACGAGACACAGTTACAAAAGCTTTTTTCTCATTTTGCTCTTCTATTTAAAAGACACGAGGTTGTTTAACGTCCTGAGGAGCAGAAAGAAAAGCTTTAGGTTTTCAAAATATTTCATTCAGGGACTTCAATTTAAGGAGTTGGAAGTTGTTATATCATGTAGCTCTCACACATTACTTTGCAATATCAGAAGCACCCAGAAAAACATTAATCTAAGCCACCAATTTAAATTCTCCTCATCGCAACACCATTAGCTACATATTCTTCGCTAACATGCTTTTCTTTATTTTTGCCTATTTACATTATCCAGAGTACCACTTTTGACAGACACTTTTAACCAACACTTGAAACGTATGTTTGGTTAGCTTTTACTGTAACAGAGGAAGGTCTCCTGTGGAAGAAATGGCCAATAAGGCTTGATAGTTCCTCATATTTCCAGTGCTATATTTAATGTGAATTCATGAGGCAAACAAAAAGAAATAGCAACTCTTTAAAAGAGAGAGAATCAGAATGTATCCCATGCCCATCATAAATTCAAATGCTTTGTAGGTATGCACATTTCTGCAGTAGACAAAGATATACAGATGGAGATAGTGACACATTTTCATACAAGAAGAATGAGGTATATCAACTTTATACTGTGGATTTCTGAACACCATAGGAAGCTCCACTACATATGAATAAAATGTCAGACAGAGATAAAATCTCTTTTTACAGTGTGACATGTTTTGCTCCGCAATGAAATCTAGTACATAACACAAATTAAAACCAGTGCACTTTCACAACTACACTAAACATCTCCAAGCGACATAAGTGCAGATTCTAGATAAAAGAATTGGGATTTGTTAACATCTCTTTGGATTCTAGATATCTCTTGAACCAACAACTAACCAAGGGCAGCTAATATGATTTGTGACTACTGTACAGGAGTGGAAAAGTTTCACACTTTTCCATCTGTTGGTCTTTCTGAGGAACATTGCTCCTAACTCGGCTGTTGAACCTGCTACTTCCTACATTTGGAAAACACACATATATACCACATGTACATTCTTATAAACTGGAAAAATAGCAGGGAAGCAATTTTAACTGAGAAAATATGGGGATATATTTTTGTAAAGCCAGATATTCATGCCATTATTAGATTTAGTTTGGCACTCTGGGTATGAAGCCTTGACATTCAAATCTGGTAACTACTGGAGGTTGTAAAAAAAATGCAAGCATCTCCAACTATTTCATTTTCTGCGCAGGGCTAATATTTTTATTTTATTTATTTATGTGATTTTCCTCCTCATCTGTCCCTCTCAAATGCAACTGAAGCGGTTTACAATACAAATGAATAAGCTGTTTATAAAAATAAAATAAAAAACAATTTAAAACACATCAAAATACAATCAGTCCTGCACATTCACTGGGCTTAGGGACACAAGATTTCCAGAAAGTGGAAGATTTCCAGAAATCATAACTTTTTTAAAAATACTTTTTTTCAGCTGAGATCACCTCAATTCCCTATTTTTTTAGCTGAGGAATGGCTTGATCCTCCACCATGACTCTATGGTCCACTTCTGCAAGAAGCTAGAGATCCTATCAGAAGTTGACCATACAGCCACACTGGGGAGCCCGGAGAATCCAAGAGAGAACATTTTTATCAAATCCATGAATAACCTGCAAAAGTCAAACTTGCAAATGTGTAGTCTGATTATGCATTATACAGCCTCCAAGCAAGTGGTTAGTAAAGGTCTGCCTGAATAAAAAGGCCTTCATCTGTTACTAGAAAGACAACACAGAAGAAGCCAGCCAAGGCTGCTTCAATGGACACGTCCAGAGTCTGGGACTGACCATGAAGAAAGTCCTAGGTCTGGCCACCAAACAAGCTTCAAAAGATGGACAGGCTCATATGAGAGAAGACAATTTTTCTGGAAGCCTGGATGCAAATCCTATTGGGTTTTATATATCACTACTAGCACTTTGAATTGTGCTAAGATTGCTATTACACTTTCTAACACATTGAGATTCAGCCCAGTGTAATGTTTAGAGTGTCGAACTGGGATTCAGTTATAAAGATACTGGGTAAATTGGGGCCAATCGTTGTTTTTTGAGCTAACTGACCTCATGGAGTTGTGAGGATAAAATTGGGAGTAGGTGTGTTTGTTGCATTGATTCTCCTTTAAAAAGGAACAATATAAACTTTGTATACAATGTTATTTCACACGATTTAGCATAGAAAGAAAGGGGGTGAAGAAAGTAAAGCTGGAGATAGATTCCCTCCCTCTATGGCTCCTGACCCCACAACTTTGAGATTTAAGGGATTTAAGGGTTTAATTTCATTCTAAAGTCCACCCATTTTAAAAAAAGCAATGAAAGCACAAGGTGAGGAGCTTTGACTTGATAATAATTTTTGCTATTAGCTCCAATGTCCATCGACCTCATTCCAACAGGAAATGGTTGAGGTCTTCTTCCCTATCTCGAACCTGTTGGGAGTTGAACTGTAATAAAACATTTAGAGGGTATCAGGTTGAGCAGGACTTGCCTAGAAGAAGATACTAAAGGGATTGTGATTTAAAACTTTAGAAGGAGAGAGAGGTCTAGGAACAAGCATGTGAAAACTTATTGCTGTCTGAATTCTTGTACCTTCACCTTGAGAGATAAGTGCTTCCCTTGAGCATTGTGAGGAAGAGATT